GTCCTCCAGTTTCATCCATGTTATGAGATGGTTCACAGATTCATTGTTGTTCTTTCTCGTTGCATAGTACTCCATTGTGTGTATGTACCATAGTTTGTTTTGGGATAGGGAACATTTTGTTGTCGGAGTCTTTTTGATATCTCTGTTAGGAACAGTGTTTCTCAGACTTGAATGTTTGGCTTATTTAACTCAAGAAAAGGGGAACTTAATTTAAATAAGTAGGGCCTGAGATCATCTGCACTTGATGCTGCACTTGATGCTGATGCTGTAGAAAGGTAGTTGATGGTGTGTTATTTTTGTGGAGAAGACATTTTAAGTTGAAAGGTAGCGTATAGTTAAAAAAAACAACTGTGATATTAAAACTGTTAATAGAAGAAGTTTATTGTTTTAAATAAAATAACTGGAACCCTTATTTTCCTTACTAAAGGTTTATAGGTTTGCAGGAAATTACTAATTTTTCTTTAAAGTAGTTTTTTTTAATGCATGAGATAAAAATGGATTGGATTTGGAACTCCTTGGTTAGGAGATGTCAGTTTTTAAATGCAAGGGGTCACAGTTTAGTTTCATGTCATGAATTTTCTGGACACTTTTACTTCAGAAAGTTTAGAAATTTCCTTAAGAAAGTGGTACACTTTGGTGTTTGCTAAAGCTTTATATTGTTCCTTTGACATGAGAGTAATAGTTGGGAGAGGGAGGGGATAGAGAAATTTAAGAGCAGTGGGATGTACTTATACAAAAAAATTATAATGGTGTTTCTTCTTGCTAAGGCTAGGGTTAACATTAAACAGTTGGGCAGGATCTTCTACTGCTGTTATTTTTCCTGCATTATCTTGGTGATTCTTTTAGTATTTTGAACCATAAGGTGTTCTCTTTAAACAGCAACAAGAGATTTATTATTCTCAGTCTGATCAATTCATAATGCTTAGATTCGTGAAATAAACATCTAAAAAGGAAAAATTATAGAAACATGTCAGAACTTCGGAAAGAAATAATGAAAAAAAATTTAACAAGGTTTTATTTTCATTTCTCCCATATGTATGCCATATTCATTGAGTCAGTGAATCAAAGTTTCTACTATGTGTCAGGCACTAAATAGGAATGTGTAGTCTGAACAAAACGTGTTTGAGAAAAACATATGGGAGTTGACAGAACCTCTTTTCTATCTATTTGGGTGAGATCCCCAGTCATTTTGTAGTAAAAGGCTGCAGTCTGTTTGCTTGAGATGTCATGCTTTGCCCTTGGGGCAAAATTTTAAAGTTTTTGAAAGCCAGGTTTGTGTTTTTTTTTTTTTTTTTTTTTTTTTCAGTAGGCAGCTATTTTAAATATCATTATGGCTCCATGGTTGCCAGCTTTAGATAGGCTTGGGTTTGTAGTTATGCCAATGTGTGGTGCTTTCCTCTTCCCTTTCAGCCCTAAGTTACAGAAATCTAAGTCGTTTACAAGCTTTTTGTTACATGTATATGGACAAGCAGTTAATTACAAAAGGAAAGATGCTTAAACTAAAAGAAAGGAACTTAGCGTTTTCCATTTTTAAACTGGTTAGACCTAGAATCCAATTTCAAGAATAGTAGTAAAGTATCTTTTCCAGTTGCTCAGTAAGAACAGAGGCTTGTACTCTTAAGTCAGAGGACCTGCATTTGCATTTGCAGCTAGATTCTGCCACCCAGGAACTTTGTGATTGTGGCCAAGTTGTCTAACTACCCCTTTAAGCTGAAGTTTTCTTACCTGTAAATGAAAATAATTACCTATTTTATGAGCTTGTGAAGATACAGGGAGATTATTTATTTAAACCGTTTAAAATAGTTTTAGCTGTCTTTTTAAATAGGTTTAGCTGTCATTATATAGTGGGATATTGTATAAGCATGAACACTGATTGTTTTCTTTTGGCTTTCCGTTATTTTTGTAAAAGTATGTGTATTTTCTCCCTTCATATTCCTTCTTCTCTCTCAGGTGAGGGATAAAGGGACATATCATGATATACTTAAAATAGTAATAAACAGAGATGGGAGTGCCTCATTCCCTTTTAAATGCACGCACGCACGCACGCACGCACGCACTCACGCACTCACTTATAAAGTGCCAAAGTAGGCTTGAAATGGTTCTTATATGACCGATAAGCCAAACCTTCTCTGTCTGTTGAAGATTTCTGGCTTTCTTATGGAAATACATAGTTTGTCATTAAAATTTTAGGAGTAAATTGTAAATTAAATTTTAAATTTAAATTTGAAATAGGAGCAGTAATCCAAGGAGGAAATGATCAAGAAGAATGGAATTGAAGAGACAAAGCAATGGCAGCCTGAAGGGAATCACTAATTTATCTTAGTATATTTTATCCAATTGAAAAGCTTTGGATTCTGGAGTTCGTCAAACATTTTAAAGCCCAATATAGAAGTTAACACAGAATGAAATTTGAGATTGTAGTATTGTGATGAGGAATGATTTATAATTTTAAAAAAAAGACAGTAGAGTGGTACCTGGTGCATAGAAGGGACACGGTACATTTTTATTGAAAGAGAAATAGTAATTATATTGCGGATAATTTTTTCTTCTTGGAAAACTTTATTCAAGACCTCTTTTATACACTAAAACCTGTGAAAGCTAGAACCTATATAAAGTGGAAACGTGCCAGAGAAGAAAAACTCACATTTTCCACTAATAGCAGAAAATTTGTAAGACGTGGGAAAACAAAGCAGTCTCGACGAGTTCTGGCTTTCACAGGTTTCACTGTATATACATAGTCTCTGGGTGGTACAGATGGTTAATGCTTTAGGCTGCTGACTGAAATGTTGGAGGTTCGAGGCCAGAGTCCACCCAGAGACACCTCGGAAGAAAGGCCTGGTGACCTACTTTGAAAAACCAGCTATTGAAAACCTTGTGGAACACAGTTCTACTCTGACACACATGGGGTTGCCATGAGTTGGAATCGACTTGATAGCAACTGATAGTTTATACATAGGGCAATTAGGTCCCTGATTTTTCAGTCACAGGCATGTGTTTTTATTTGATTGAAGTTGGTGTGAGAAACAAAAAGTCTTAATTTTTGAACAGTGTCTTTGAAATGCAACACATTCTTCTTCTGAGGAAATTGAGGGGTCAAGAGAAAGTTAAGCATTGACTAGTACTTAAGGCCTATATGAAAACCAGACACATAATAATATATTCTAGTTTGAGTACTTGTGTTAATTTCTATATGTGATTTTTAAAAAAAAAAAACCTTGCTTGAATTCCTTTTAGATGAGAAAAAGAAGGAAAGGAAGAGAGCTAGAGGCATATCTCCAATTGTTTTTGATAGAAGTGGAAGCTCTGCATCAGAGTCATATGCAGGTATTCTCATTTTATTTGTTATCATATCACTGACTCGAGTGTAATCTGTAGAAGGTGTGTGAAGGCTGTAGTTTAGTGTGAACTTATTGATGTCCATTAGTATTGATTTTTGGCATGTTCAATGTAATAATTCTAGAGGAAACTAAGCTTTTTCTTATTTTAATCCTGTTCTGTTACTGCTTAAGTGGAATTTTCACTTTTTTTTTTCCTTGGAAGATGATGATTCAGTGACTAGTTTTCTGAGTGGGAAACTGTTCAAATATATATATATATAAAAAATCCAAACAACCCAAAAAGCAAAACACTCGTACACATTGAGAAGTATTTTATTGTGTGTGTGGGTGCGCCAGGAAGAATAATTTGTCTTGAATGAGAATTAATGTGACAAGACTGTAGAAATTTTGTCTTATCTCTATTAAAGCTCAATCTGAACAAATGTACTTTGGCTAAATACAGGTTCAGAAAAGAAGCATGAGAAATTATCATCTTCCGTTCGTGCTGTCCGAAAAGGTATCATTTAAATTTGAAATTGTTTTCATTGCATGCTGCATAAAGTCATTATTTTGCCTTATTGGTTCTCCATTAATGGTTGGTTTTAATGTAGTAATGTTCCGATATATTCCATTAAGGGGGGAGAAAAAGTAATAATGTAATCTTACATAGAGAGCTCCATGTCTGCTTCTAATTGTATATCTTTTAGAACAATAGACATTTCAGGATAATTCAGTTTTGGGACACTATGTATGATTGGTATATTTTTAAGTAGCATAATGGTCTATTATCAGCCGTTAAAGGAATCTAAAAAGAATTCTGTAAAACTTGTAGGCATTTTCTTAGTTAAATATGGATATGATATATCGGAACATCACTAGATTAGATTTACCTTCTTGCAAAGTGCTGGTGTCTTTTCTTAGCTCTGCATTTTTACATGTTGTGGCTTAGCTTTCCAGGTTGAATGGGTGATTGTGAGTTTTAAAATTTTATCTGGGTTGTGGAGGGCTATAGTTAGTATAGTTTGTACCCCTTTGTGTTGTAGTGGCCTGTGTTTAATCAATTTGGATTTCTTTTTTTCAGATCAAACCAGTAAACTCAAATATGTCCTTCAGGATGCAAGATTTTTCCTCATAAAGAGTAACAACCATGAGAATGTGTCTCTTGCCAAAGCTAAGGTATTAGCATCATTTCTGTTGAAATTAACTTAATCCTAAAATTTTTTAGTGGGAAGTTGGATTTAAGTATCTTGAATAGTATACAATACATAGCATAAGATACTGTAATTTTAATGAAAGCTGTGGAGATCAACAGCCAGGTTGCCATTTAGGATCTGGTTTTTGGCTGGTTAGGTAACCATTTAGTAGTAAATTGTTTGAGTTGTCTTTAAATCTTTTAAAGGTGATTTTAGAAGTCAAAACACTTGATATTGAAGATAATAAAGTTTAATTTTACACTGCATAAGATGTGTTTCTGTGTATTTTTGTATTTCTGTCTTTATTCAGTTTGTAATACGTTGTGTTAACATCTTTTTTAAAGTTTCTTTTGTTAACTGACTTTGTTTTATGTCAGTACTTCTTTTACACTTGAGAGCCTTTTTTAACCATCAGATGTTTCTTTTTTTAATTAAAAACAAGCAAAAGAACAAATTCATTATATCTTATCTGTCAAACTTGTTATCCACCTAAACATCTGTTCAGTTTTTGTTGACGTGTTTAGAAAGAAAAATTATCTAACAGACCTTATAATTAATGAATTTTGTTGGAGCCAACGAACTTTACTAATGACTTGCATTATATTTCCTGCCCTTTTTTGAAAAGAAATCATTCTTGTATAGAAAGATTATTTTATTTAGAAGAAAAGAAAAGAGTTGTCTTAAAGACCCACCCCAGACTTTTCAAAAAGAATATGCCTAGTTGCTGCAGGATATTGTATGTTACTAATTTTTCTGTTTATGTTTTAGATACATCTGTGTGTTACACTGACTAAATGTCTTTCTATTCTTGGTTTAAAATGAGTTTCTATACAGTTTCTGCTGATTCTTAGAAACTTAAAACTAATGTTAAACATTTTTCTTACATTTCTTTCAGTATTCATGCTCTGTTTTTCTGACTTAGGTCAAGGATTACCTATAAAGCTTTTGGACAATATACTAAATAGCTTATCTAAACCAAAACCAAACTTACTTTCGTCAAGTTGATTCTGACTCATAGCGACCCTATAGGACAGAATAGAACTGCCCCATAAGGTTTCCAAGGAGTGACTGGTGGATTTCAACTGCCAGCCATTTGGTTTGTAGCCGTAGCTGTTGAGTACTGCGCCACCAGGGCTCCAAGTAACCTATCTGGTGGTATCTTACTCTGTTCTTCAGCTGGAGTGGGGTTTAGGCAGAAGTAATTAAGCACTTAGTATGAATGAAAAGATCCTACTTTGAATGAACAGATTGGTTTAAATGAATTAGAGTTCTGCCTTACCTCCCCATTTCATCTGTTTTTGTCTTCCATGAATGAAAATTTCATTAAAATGCTTCAGAAATAATAACTGTTTCATCAGTACCTGAAGAGATAAAACAGAGACTTCTTCAAACTATTGATGCATAAAAATTTGAACTTAAATAGAAAAGCTGAGAAGTACTAGATTCTTGAAAAATTCTTCACTTTTGGATTTACAGATGCAACAATTTTTAATTACTTGATTAGGTACAGTTTTTCAGGAAGACAAATGTTGCACAGTTTGTGATTCACCTTTAAAGAGAAAGAATGTATTTACCACAGTCAGTGATTGTGATATCAAAATAATTTTAGGTGACTGGTTTTATTACATAGGATTCTGGCCCAGAAGATTCAACTTCATAATGTGTTTAGTAGTTGTTTCAATGATTTTGTTAGGACTGGTAATTTTCTCCATATTTCTCCTGAGCTTTTTATAAATTAATACAGCATTATTTTGACAGTTGATAAATAAGACATTATGGCTGATTTATACCAAACTCAGTAGCCTTAGTCTTTTGCAAATATAATTGGAAAATGTGTTTTGCAGTTAACTTCACTTTGTGGTCTTTACTTTTTTTGTATAGGGTGTATGGTCCACGCTACCTGTAAATGAGAAGAAATTAAACGCTGCATTCAGATCTGCAAGGAGTGTTATCTTAATATTTTCTGTAAGAGAGAGTGGAAAATTTCAGGGTAAGAATAAAAGTAATTTTAATATATAAAAACGTTAGTTATTTTGGCATCCGTATATTATGTTGTGATTTGATTCTCTTAGGGTTTGCAGGATTTTCTTCAGAATCACATCATGGAGGATCTCCTAATAATTTTGATGTATAAAAACATTATATTGGCATCTATATATATTATGTTGTGATTCGATTCTCTTAGGGTTTGCAAGACTTTCTTCAGAATCACATCATGGAGGATCTCCTATACACTGGGTGCTTCCAGCAGGAATGAATGCTAAAATGCTGGGAGGAGTCTTTAAAATTGACTGGATTTGCAGGTAAATCGTACACTTTAATATACAGAAGCCATGGGAAGGAGGGTTTGGATGTATATAGGTGGAATAGGGAGCCACCTTTTTTTATGAAGCAGGTGCTTAGTAAAAGAGAACAGAAGGCAAAGATAAATAGTAACTTGGGCCAGACTTAGGACTTAAACCCTTACCATAGGACAGTGAAGTAATGCAAAGACCTGGGCAATGATGGAGTGTTAATAGTTTGTTAGATTGATGGTTGATAGGGTAGCAAAAAGCTGTATGCTCTAAAATACTAAGTAAATTATGGTTTGTCTTGTAATATATGCAGAAGTAATTGTCCATGAACAGCATGGAAAGAGATGTTCAGTATAACAAATGAAAAAATTATGTTGGCATGCTAATGTTAGAGTAGTGAGATTGAAGGTGATACCTCCCCATTCTCTCATTGCTCCCAGGGTTTTTAAAAATAATTTCATGGTTACTTAGAAAATACGTAAAATTTAAAGATTTGGTGACAGCTTACAGGGAAAATGGTGAAGATTATTTTTTAGCAGGAAGATAGACGTATTTATTTGTTTTATTATTATTTTTGTAACTGATTATAGAGGCCAAAGGAGAGGTTTGTCAGCGTTAGGTTTTATAACTAAAAAACATTAGTAGTATCATTGGAAAATATTTGGAGGTAATAGTCCCTTGGGAACAGGAGAGAACATAATTATCCATTTTAAATTAGTTGCAGCAGTTCTTGTCTTTTTTTAATTTTAATGTGGTTAAAAAAAAAAAATGAAGTTTGCCATTTTTAAGTTAATTACCGTATTTTACACAAATAATGGGTGCCTTCTAAGTTTGTTTGCCACCTGGGCCCTCCCTCCATGAGAAAATAACCTGGCAGTTACTATCATCCTATCCATTTCCAAAAGTTTTACATCACCCCAAACAGAAACTTAGTACACCGTCAGCAATAACTCCCATTCCCTCTTCCCCCTAGTCCCTGGTAACTTGTAATAAACTTTTGTCACTGTGCATTTGCCTATTCTAGATATTTCCTACAAGTGGGATCATACGCTATTTGTCTTTTTGTGTCTGACTTGTTTCACGTAGCATAACGTATTTAGGGTTCATGTTGTAACATGTATCAGAATTTCATTTTCTCTTTGTGACTAAATAATACAACCTTGTTTTGAATGTTACTTGTTCTATTAATCCTCATTTTCATATTATTGATAAGAAAATTTGTTTCTCAATTTTAAAAGATGAGTTTATTCATAGATTATTCAGTCTTATTCCTCTTCATGTGCTTATTAGTCGTGTTTGAAGCGTGTATAGCACTTGTTGTATACTTGTTGTGTGTATAGCGCTAGTTTGAAGTGTGTATAGCAGTAGAAGAGGTAAAAACCCAGAGAGTCTATATTACTAACATTGGGTATAAAATTTGAGGTAGTAGAGTGCTTTTATTACTTTAAAGAAGGTTTTAAGTTATGTAGAACCTAGAAAGAATCTTTGTAAATCAAAACACTATTTTTTTAAATACTCGTAAGTCTTGTTCAAAAGTAATTTTATAATACTTAACAGTTCTAGAGGACGCGTAATATTTATTGAATTGGTATTTCCTTGAGTAAGTCACTTGAACTCTTGAGTTTGTTTTCTGTATAAAATGCAAACTTCTTTTTACTTTCAGAATTAAAGGGATTTAACTTTAATAACTAGAAATGCTTAGGTCTTTGTCATCAATAACAACAACCACTATAAATATGTATTTATTTTTCAGATATGTTAAGCATCCTTTGGATTTAATAATAACTAGACTTAAGCTTATTTAGGTGTCGTCCTTGGACCTCCTGCATCAGTAGTGATTATTAAAAATGCAGGTTCCTAAGACCCACCCCAAACTTGTTGAGTCTCAGATATTTTGTAGGCCCACTGAAGTTTGAGATTAGATTTATATTAGCAGATAGGAGAGGGACGCATGAAAACTCACTTATTTAAGTTGCCATCTGGAATTAGTAGTTCAGAGTAAGGCTGTAATCTATGAAATGTTATTCATCCAGAATTAAATTCACTGTTTTATACTTAACCCTTTCACTTCAGTGTCAAATTTCCCATTCCTCTTTCCTTACAGGCTCTCTCAATTGTTCCATAAACTTTAATACCCAAATCATTACTCAGAAAATAATAACCTTTGCAGTTTTATGTTTGTTAAATTTGCCCCGTTTGGTGAGCCACTTAAGTCAGACCCCATGGTCTGTAGGGCCCTTAGTAAGAGAGCCAGCCATCTGTAGGCTTCTCAACACATCTACTCAAAACATAATTGTTACGATGCCTGTTCTATAATTGAGATCCTGAAGACAGGATACAGTAAGGATGATGACCATAAATGAAAGACCTGCAATTTCTCTTAACTTACTCTAATTCCTAGGTGACTCCTCAGCCACAGTGGATACATACCTCTTGAATCTAGTTAGAGCCACTACCAGCAAACAACCTCAACCAGCTGGGCATGTACCTTTATTTTAGATCTTGAGTATTCCATTACTAAAATTTAAATTACTGTTTTTGTTGTTAGGTGCTGTTGAGTCCGTTCCAACTCATAGTGACCCTGTGCCCAACAGAATGAAACACTGCCCGGTCCAAATATTTAAATTAGTGATAATTTTATTCTGTAATATTTTTGATCTTCCTGTATTTTAGTGGCTATAGATTTTCATTTGTTATTTTCCTGTAACTTTTTTAACTGGCAAATCAGAGGAAAACTTTAAAAGTATTTTTTTTCTTTTTGTAGCACACTTTTAAAAAATTTTATTTATTTTGTTCTTGTTGGGAATATACACAGCAAAACATACACCAATTCAGCAGTTTCTATATGTACAATTCAGTGACGTTGATTACATTCTTCGAGCTGTGCAACCTTTCTCACCCTCCTTTTCTGAATTGTCCTCAACCATTAACATAAGCTCACTGCCCCCTGCATTTCCTGTCTAATCTTTCAAGTTGCTGTTGTCAGTTTCTTCCCATATAGATAGATACTGCAAGAGCACAGTGCTCAAGGCAGACATTCTTAACTAGTTAAGCTAAACTATGGTTTTAAGAAGACTTCAGAGGATGTTTTTGGTTTAAGGTTTAAAGATTATCTCAGGGCAGTAGTTTCAGGGATTCATCTAGCCTCCATGGCTCCAAAAGTTTAGAGTCCATTAGAATTTTAAATTCTGTTCTATATTTTCCCCCTTTTGATCAGTATTCTTCTATAGACTCTTTGATCAAAATGTTTCAGGCACCATCCAGTTATTCTGGTCTCAAGGCAAAGAAGGCAGTTGTTCATGGAGGCAGTTAGCCACACATTCTGTATCCTTCTTCTGTTCCTGACTCTCCTTCTTCCTCTTGCTCCAGGTGAAGAGACCAGTTGTGCCTTGAGTGGCTGCTTGCAAGCTTTTAAGATCCCTGGCACTACACAACAGACTAGGAGGTAGAACAGAAGGACTGAACATGTTATTAGGCCAATTCACTGGGGTGTGCCATGAAACCATGACCCTAAACCTCCAAACCAAGGTTAAAAAGTATTATACAAAACACAAAGAAATGTTAACTATGTTTCTGGATGTTCTAAGCTTTTGGTATAGATTTATTCTAGCTTTTCATAGGATACTAGTTACCTAATGATAGTCTTTTTATCTCTGACACCTGGAAAGGGAAAAATATATATATACTCTTTTGAATCACTCTTGATGTGAAGTAAGATGTGTATGAGACAAAGAATACAAGCTTTTTGGCAATACCTAGTGGACATTTCCATCACTCACTATTTCCTTCCTCCATATATGTGTCTCACCACCACCACCACAAAGTATTCTGCCTTGTTAATTTACCTTTAGACATAATTCTGTGTCAGATTTTTTTCTGAGATTTTAAAAAATTATGTAAAGTCTGAGCATTTAATAGTCACCTTAAAATAAAGTTAGAAAAAACGGATATGTAGTTTATCCACTGGACTGAGTTACTTGATTGTGTTTTCCCTTCTCCATTGTGCCTTTGCTCAAGCCCTTCTGTTTGCTTCAAACAAAACCCTGCCTTACCTCTCAGTATATGGCTTCACCTGAGTCACTTTTCTTTCAGGCTTATCCCATATACTACTTCTAAAAAGCATTTTGTGATTATTTCTCTTTCTTTCAAAATAGATACCACCCTCTGCTACCCATAAAAAAAAAGTCTCTATTCTGTTTATATTACGAACTCTGATAAAATTGCGTATGCCTGTTCTCTGATGGTGTGGAAGAAAGAGTGGGGATGCAAGCTACTTGCATATTCAAATCTGTATGTCCTTTTAGCCAGCAGTTTCATTTGTATAGTAGGTACAATAAATATTTAAAGCCAGTTATTAATTTATTTAATTTGGCATTAAATGCTGGTTTTATACATAGATAAAATCCTTTTGAATGCTGTTAATTTCTGATTATTCCTTGGCAGTCAACAAATACTTATCTTTGTCCTCTTTGTTTTGATACAGAACTGTAAAGGTGTAGATTGTCTTTTTTAAGTTTGGTGAGACCATTTTGCACTATTCCTCTAATTTTAAGTAATGAAACTGAGTCAGAGTGTTTAAATTATATAGATTCTGCCCTGTAGTAAGGGCATTAAGTAGTAAATGAGGGCATAATTAGTACACACACATATATAAATTTGTATTGTATAACTCAAGAGCCATCCCATAGGTGGTGGAGAATATTGCTTTATTGAATGTAGGGGAGGACACTTGAATCTGAGAAAACAACTCTGAACTAAGGATAGGAAACCCTTCTATTTTCATTTGTTATTAACAGGTTAAGGTTCAGCTTCTTTCTAAAAATAGTTACTACAGTGTTTTGAGTACACTGAAGCAAGGCTTATGCTTAACATTTTACATAAGTCATTCCATTTACAAACTAAAAACAACTAGGAAATGGCTGGTGATATTCTTGTTTATAAAATGAGGAAACTCAGGCTCAAAGAAGTTGAGAGAGAGCTAGCAAACTGATTTAAAACCCAGAACTGTCATGTTTTCAAAGCCTGTGCTCTTAAGTGCTGTATTATATATAGTTTTTTCTTTTCTTTTTTTTTTTTTTTGAGAATACGATGGAGACTGTGGTAAGAGCTCTTCTCCGAAGGCATTGTCTCTAAAGGGAATATGCTCTACCAGTCTAAGTGATTCTTTACATTTTAGTTTCATTTAAGTCATAATTAACACAGGTAGCCATTCCCGAAGTAGTATAAGGTCCTTACAAGATTCTGCAAAGGAATGTAAGTGATACTACTTTGTATTTAGGCGTGAATTACCCTTCACTAAGTCGGCTCATCTCACCAATCCTTGGAATGAACATAAGCCAGTAAAGATCGGACGTGATGGACAGGTTTGTCATTTTAATTGCTCCTTTAAGAAACACATTTAATTGACCCATGTAGCGATATTTATTGAAGGATATTTTAAAACCATTTCTGAAAGAATTTATATGAAAGATTAAGGGAAGATACTCATTTGTAGCTCGTTTTTACTGTGATTATAGCAGATTAATAAGATCTTCATTAATGTTGAAATACAGGTAGCTTTGTATGGTAGTTTCTTTAATACAATTGAAGGGAAAATTTTTAAGAGCATTGGTCTGCTTTTAAGTGGTTTTTTATTGTATTGTCCCTTTTAACAGATTTAGCACCTTGTATGATATTTAGAAATACCATTTAACATCTTTGAGGTTTTCTGAATAGAAGGAAGCTTTATGAAAAGAAGGTTAAGTTTTTATATTCAGATTTTCAAGTCTACAAATAATGAATTGATTTAAAATAAACCCAAATCTTTGTCTTCTGTAGTTCCCACACATGATTCTGAACTAGAAGTAATACTGTTTTCATTGCTCATAATTGAAAATGTTGGTAACTGAAAAGAAAAGCTAATTTTAAAAAGCCCACCATGGATTAATGTATTTCAGCATATTTAGCAGTTCATAAGTATTAAAATTGTTGACACTAACATAATTGTTATTAGTAAATAAGTATCAGTTAATATAATTTATATTTCTGTTCTTCATGAATTAAGATACTGATTCTTACAAATTGTATGCCACGTAAAAGTATTTTCATGGAGATTTACGTATGTATTTTTCTACCATTATATTAAAATGGATAACTTTGTCTTGGTATTTTTGTATTTTGAACAAAGAAATATTCCTTTGCAGAATGTGATTGTCACAGCCAGAGTTTTAAGCAACTGTGTTTGTGAATCTAACTTTGGAGATTCCATACTTTCAAATTTTACCCTTTGTATAAATACATGAAACACTTTTGAAAGATTTTACAAATCTGAAAGATTTATAAAGGGAATCCCATTTGATCATCATTCTTGGGAAGGAAGCCTGTAGTCAGTGTTTAGTTTTATACATCAGGAAAGTGCAAGTCTATCGAAAGGTTCTTTTATTGTCAGCTTGTAAATTGCTACTTTCACATTCCAGGAAATTGAACTTGAATGTGGAACCCAGCTTTGTCTTCTATTTCCCCCGGATGAAAGTATTGACTTGTATCAGGTCATTCATAAAATGCGTCACAAGAGAAGAATGCATTCTCAGCCCCGATCAAGAGGACGTCCATCCCGTCGAGAACCAGTCCGGGATGTGGGAAGGTTAGAAACGTTCTTTGGACTGATAATAGGCACATGTATCAGAATAACATGATGGAGGAATGTGATTCGTCAAAAGTTTGTCCTGCGGTAAAGAAGAAAGAGAAAATCCTCAAATCAAGCTGCATGGACTAGTTTGTGGCTTCATTGAGGATTTCACATGGTCACCTTGGTCTCTGTCATTTTTCAAGAGGAAAATGGGGATCTTTCCTTATGCAGAAAAAAGTATTTTCTAAAGAGTGATAGTCAATGTAGATTAGATAATATTTTGATAATACAATTGAAATGAGGTAGGCATTTGTTACTGAGAACAGGCTAGAAAGGAAGAGGAGGAAGTCTTTATTTGCAAAAATTGTTAATATTTTGTAAAAAGCCTTTTCTTTCAGGTGTGTCTCTGGATAATCCTTATCAGATATGGGACCTTTATAAAGGATCACTAATATTTTTACAGAAGATGACGCCTCATTTAGAGGATAAAATATCTTAAGTTATTTTGATATTCAAGAGGAGCATTGTTGGGACTGTTTCAGATTTTACCACCGTGATGTGTTAACCCCATTGCCAAATATTCTCTAACATGTACCCACTGAATTCACACATCTTGCTGAGCTTCTGAAAACAATAGGTTCTTTCCAAAGGGAATCAAGTGGCCCTGGGAGACCCGGCAACAAACCAAAAAGAAGGGCTGTTGCTGTGTCTGTTTACAACTTTTCCAGATGCTGGCAGTACCTGTGGACTTAAAAGTGTTTATTAGAGGATCGCCATTGTTATTGATCACTACTTTATGAACTAAACAGCATTTTCCAGGAAAAGGGGGTTTAACTTGTTACAGAATTGGAGAAGTCTTTGCAAAGGACTGATTTAAGCCCTTCTACCCAACACCTTCCCCTGTATAGATTTGCATACAGCTAAATCTAAAATATTCTGCTAAAGACTGTTGGAAGTGTGGTTGATGGGATGAAACCTTTGGTTAAGTTTCCTTTTGGTGGAAACATCCTGTGGTAGGTACAGATAATCCAACAAGAGCCCCCATTTCTTTGAGCTTAAAAAGGACGATGTGGAGTAGGTAGGAGGAAACCTGGCAGAGCCCCTTTATTTTTGGCCTAAAAGGACTGAGCACCAAGATGTCTTTTGAAGTTTTAAGCTAAGAGGTTTCCAGTGCAATACAGTATATACAAATGAAGTTTTTACCTCAGTTTTGCAATGGACTGCAAACTATACTTATTACACCACTACACCTTCTCTCAAGCCTGCCAGGGCCTCCATTTATGTATGTGGCTTACAGCTTAAAGTCAGTAGTTGGACTACTATATGAACTGTTACTATCATGTTTTATACCGGTCGTAAATGCACTACCCAAACTACAAGAAAGCGGTATGTTTATTTTTTAAACCAGCTTTTAATTTTCTTAGTCTTACTTATTGTAGATGCAACTGCTTTTATTCTGTTGGGGGGCTTGGTGTTATTTCAGTTAACTTTACAGGTTGACTAAATAAAACAGTTGAACTTGTATTATTAAAAACAGTATTTAGAAAACTAGCTGAAAACCTAGTGATGTCAGGTTATTTTAAAGTTTTTATTTGACACTAAAGGTAAAAAGATATATTTAGTACTGAAAAACTTGGATTTTTATAAGTTTTGTTTAGCTCTTTACTAAATGCTAAGTAAAATGAAGTGTATTTAATGATGTCTTAAAACAACTGTTGAGATTTTTGGAAGACAGTAAAGAGCAGCCCTCTGCAGACAGTAAAATTTCACGTTCTAAAGCATATGCTTTGAACTAGTTTTATGAACTATGAAGACTGACCCTGTTACTTGCCAATTTTTAAAAGCCAATTTTACTTTCAGTGACTGTCTTTGGAAAAAAAATTCCTTAGTTCCTAAATGTTACTAACTGTAGAAATTAGTTTTTCAGAATATAAAGATTTTGAAAAATTTCGTGTAAATTTGCTTTTAATAAGTATCAGATTTTCTGTATGATTATGTGAAAATTTTGTGCAAGCAGAAGAAAATTTTTAAGACTTTCTTAATTTTGTTTAGATTTATCAAGTTTTAAATATATAGGATTTAGTTACTTACTGTATAATGATGGTAGGGTTTTTTTTCTTTTTCACCTGAACGGAGACATTATATTGGGAAATGTTTTGTTAAACTGGATATTTAGTTTGAAGGTGACTCGTTTACTTATGTTTAGAATACTAAAATGTGATTTACATGTTTTGAGCAGGTTGCTGTTCTACGCATCTCATAGCATGAGACTGTAGAGTAATACTACTTCAAGCAATATATTTAAGGTTTGGTGTGTAGTAATTTGGAGGAATTAAAATCTAGGAATTTTAAGATTATGTGCTCACCAAAAATTAAGACTTTTTAAAGGAAATGATGAGCTATTCTTTGTACGTGTTTCTGTCAAAAACTCTTGCTTTGTTGTTTGTTCTCCCAGCTGTTTTTAGTTTAATTTCTAATGTGTCTAATTTGTGTAGGCGTCGACCAGAAGATTATGATATTCATAACAGCAGAAAGAAACCAAGGATTGACTATCCCCCTGAGTTTCACCAGAGACCAGGTTAATATTTTATAATCCTGCAGATATTTGACTTAAAATTATTTTTTAAAAATACATACACTTCTGTCATATTCGTAAACTTCCTAGAAGTGAGAAACTTTCAGACATGAGTACTTAAACCTTAGGGAATCTCATTAGTAGTTCCTCCCTGCTCTGTTATGGTTGTCTGGCTTATTCCAGTATAACTCATTATCATAATTTATTATTTGAAATAGCTAATTTATAAGTATTGCAAAGGTGGAAACTTAAACCTGCACATAGATTTAAAAATTAAATGAAGTTCGAGAAAGCTAACGACCTCATTATACTCCTGTGCCTTTTATTCCCTGTGGCATTTAGTAATTCATGTGGCATATAGCTTTAATAGGAAACTGAAATTATGCCATATGATTTTAACTAAAAATTTTAACTTCATGTTTTTTGAGAGGTATTTGGTTTGTAATCTAAAGGCAACTTTTCAAATAGCCTATGCCTCACTGGCAAACTATATCTAAGAAAAGACGTATTTAAAACAGTCAGTGGTACACTTTAAAAACTTACACAATTTGGAAATTAGTGAGTGTTAGCAGCACTAATTAAACAAGTGACTTAATAAACCTCATTCTTTCTCAAACTGGGAGGCTATTTTAGAAAGTGAAATTAGTTTTTCCCTAGAAATATGGCTGCTCACATGTTTTTACATTTTAATTTGCTGAGTCCTGACTATAAGAAGGGGAGAAAAAAATGCATTTATCTTCATTTTTACAATTTTGATTCCCTCCTCAAATTTTGCATTTTTAAAAACTATGGTTGTCTTAGCAAGTCCTGTATGTACATACTCAAGGTGGAAGATAAACATTTTGTTTTAAGAGTCCTGTTACAGTGTCTTTTAAGTAGCTTCTCTGCCCTTATCCTTATCCCCTGTGGTTCAGAATGAGGAAATTTTCTATGTAGGCAGATTAGGGGTATGAACTTAGAAGATCCATACTAAAGCCTCTCTACCAGTTTGTAATTCTGTGGTATGAAGTTATTTAGGTACTTCCTAGATTGTCGTGTAAACTCAGAAGAAAATTTGAAAATGGAATAATAGCATCACTTAAAGTACATATTTCATGGAAAGAATTGAATTGAGTGGTAAGGAAGGTTTAATTATAATGCCATCATAAAAAATTATGTATTCGATATACTAAAATGCTTGCTGTTTGAACAGGGTATTTAAAGGATCCACGATACCAGGAAGTAGACAGGTAAGTTGGGTTCACTCATGCTTGGTTTTAAATTACATTCATGGAACTAGTTTATGAATTACCTGAATTTAGTTTCACAAATCTTATTCCCAACAGACGATTTTCAGGAGTTCGCCGAGATGTGTTTTTAAATGGGGTAAGCATTTCATTTTATAGATTTCATGTAGATAAAATCAGGATCTGATTTATTTTGTAGTTGTGGCATGTTTTGTATGTAATAATGACATTATCATCTTTCATTTTAGTCCTACAATGATTATGTGAGGGAATTTCATAACATGGGACCACCACCACCTTGGCAAGGAATGGTTTGTATTCTATTTTTGCAAGTTGTTTAATTTCATTAGCAGTTCTAGTATTTTGGGTACTTGCTTGGCATATGATTAGTACAGTTATCTATTAAGAGGCTTAAAATACATATTAAAGATTAATAAGTGTTGTTGATTTGTTTTAATAGACAGGCTTAATTGGTGAGTAATAGTTTATTGTAGTGGTTACCTAGTACAAACTGCCTGGGTTCAAATATATTTCCTTCTCTTCCCAACTCTGTGACCTTGGGCAAGTTTCATTATATATCTCTTTGTTAGTTTTCGTTCTTTTGTAAAACTTAATAGGCATTCGTTTATTTTTTGGCTCATCAAGCAAATATTTAGTATCTGCTCTGTGCAAGGCACTGTGCTTACTGTAGGTATACAGTGGTGAGAGAAATGTACATCATGCCTGTTTTTGTGTGCTTACAATTTAATGGAATAGTATCAACCTCATAAGAATTGATGAGATAATAAATTCAAGTAATACATGTAAAGGTTAATAATGTTTGTTGCTGTTAAGTGCTGCTGAGTCAGTTCTGACTCATAGCAACCCTAAATACCACAGAAAAAACACTGCCCAGTCCTGTGCCATCCTCACAATCATTGTTATATTTGAGCATTGTGCTCCCTAACAGGTGTAAATTTATAGCTATTTAAAACTAAGCTTAATTAAGCTCTAGTTTTTCCTAATTGTTAATTATTTCCTTTCTTTCAGAAAACAACGTTCTTACAGTGTGTGTATTTATTTGCTTCCCCCTCCTTTTAAAAAATTTTTTTATTATGCAATAGGTGAAAGTTTACGGAACAAACTAAATTCTCATTCAGTAGTTTGTTCGTAAGGTGTTCCATGACGTTGGTTTCATTCCCTAATGTGTTAGTACTCTCCCCTTTTCCATCCTAGGTTCCCAGTTTTCCCTTCGTCGTTATTTTATACCCCTTCCTGCCTTCTCATCTTTGCTTTCGGATAAATGTTGTTCTTTTGATCTGACATAGTTGATTGTTCTGTGGAGCACGTTCCTTTTGGGTGTTACTGTTTATATTATGAGCCTGTCTATGGTTTGGCTGAAAAGTGATCTCCGAGAATGGCTTCAGTTCCAGTTCACAAAGGTGTCTTAGGGCCATAGTCTAGGGGCCCCTCCAGTCTCTGTCAGATCAGTTAAGTGTGGTCTTTTTTGTGAACTTGATTTTTTGTTCTACAGTTTTTTTCCTGCTTTGCCCGGGACCCTCTGTTGTGATCCTAGCCAGAGTAGTCGATAGTGGTAACCTGGCACCATCTAGTTCTTCTGGTCTCAGGGTTGCATAGGTTCATGTGGTCCATTAGTCCTTTGGACTAATTGCTCCCTTGAGTCTTTGGTTTTCTTCATTCTTCTTTGCTCCAGCTGAGACTAATAGTTGTATCTTAGATGGCTGCTCGCAAGCTTTTAAGACCCCAGGCGCTCCTCACAAAGGAGGTTGCAGAACTTTGTCTTTAAGAACTGTGTTGTGCCAATTGATGTAGATGTCCCCTGAGTCTTTGGTCCTTTGCCTTCGAGCCTAGGTACTTTGTGCCACCAGGCGTTTGCTTATGTCTAAGAAGCTGCCCTAACTGTGGCACTTCTATGCTCTATTGTCTGTATTAATACATAAGCTGTACCTACAGTTATGTATGTAAAAATCACCACTACCAAATCTATACCTGCAAGTTGGTGTGTTCCTTTATACTCTCCCACACCTCTTGATATACCTACCTTCCTATGTATCCATTCGTGAATTAGTGTTTGTTAATGCTGTTGTTGCTGGGATTGTCTGTGCTATAGTAATTACCAATTACCTTTGTTGCCCTTTCTTGCATTCCTCTCAGTGTCCTCCCATGCTTTGGTCATGTTTTGCTGACTTCACCTATATTGTGTATTGACTTTCCCTTCACCAGTATTAACGCGTGTCTTCTATCTATTTGGTAATTTTCCATCCCTCTCCCTCCCATCCGTAGTAACCATCAAAGGACTTTTTTTCTGTATGTAAACCTTTTCTTGTTACTTTATAATAGTGCTCTCATACAGTATTTGTCCTTTTGTGATTGACTTAACTTCACTCAGCATAATGTCCTCCAAATTCATCCATGTTGTGAGATGTTTCATGTTTTATGGATTAAGCATTACTCTCTATCACTATGTAGTATTCCATTATGTGCATGTACCACAGTTTGTTAATGCATTCATCTGTTGATGGACACTTAGGTTTTTTCCGTGTTTTTGCTATTGTGAGTAATGCTGCAATGAACATGGGTATGCATATATCTGTGTCACAGCTTTTACTTCATTAGGGTATATAACAAGGAGTGGGATTATTGCATCATATATTTCTGATTCTGGTTTTTTAAGGAACCACCATTCTGTTTTCCATAGTGGTTTGTACCATTTTACATTCCCATCACCATTGTATAAGAGTTCCAATATTCCTACTGCTTCTCCACCATTTATTTATTTTTTGTAATTTTTTTTTTTAAATTAGTGCCACTAACGTTGGAGTGAGATGGTATCCCATTGTGGCTTTCTTTTCATCTCTCCAAGGGCGATCACAAGCATTTCTTCATGTTTGTTAGCTGTCTGAGTGTCTCGTTTGATGAAGTGTCCGTTTGTATCCTTTGCCCATTTTTCAGTTGAATTATTTGTCTTTTTGTTGTTGAGGTGTTGAAGTTTTCTATGAATTTTAGAGATTAGACCCTCGTAGATACGTCATAGCCAAAATTTTTTCCCATTCTGTAGGTTCTCTTTTTACTCTCTTGGAGAAATTTTTGGTAAGTATGTTTACTTTTTAGGTGATCTCATTTATCTAGTTCATCTTCTTCTGTTTATGCATATTTAGTTACGTTTGGTATTCTGTTTATGCCATATATTAGGGCCCCTGCTGTTGTCCCTGTTTTTTCTTCCATGATCTTTATAGTTTTAGATTTATATCCGTTTTGAGTTAGTTTTTATTTATGGTGTGAGGTATGGGTCTTGTTTCATTTTTTTACAAATGGACATCCAGTTTTACCAGCACCATTTGTTAAAGAGGCTGTCTTTTTCCCATTTAACGGACTTTGGCCCTTTGTCAAAGATCAGCTGTCCATAGGTAGATTTACATCTTGGTTCACAATTCTGTTCCATTGGTTTGTGTGTCTTTTGTACCAGTACCAGGCTGTTCTGACTACCTTGACTGTATGGTAGTGTGAGGTTTCCTTCTTTGTTCTTCAGGAATACTTTACTTATCTGGGGCCTCTTTCGTTTCCATAATAGTTGGTGATTAGTTTTTCCATCTCGTTAAAGAATGCTGTTGGAATTTGGAGTGGGATTGCATTATATGTGTAGATCACTTTGGGTTGTATTGACATTTTTCACAGTGTTGAGTCTTCCTATCCATGAGCACAGTATATTTTTTCCATTTATGTAGATCTCTTGGTTTCTTGTAGTAGCGTTTTGTAGTTTTCTTTGTAGAGGCATACCACAGAGATACTGCGGGTTCAGTTCCAGACCACTGCAGTAAAGCCAGTATTGCAGTAGAGAGAGTCACATGAAGTTTTTGGTTTCCCAGTGCGTATAAAAGTTATGTTAACACTATAATCTATTAAGTGTGTAATAGCACTATGTCTGAAAATGAGATGTACGTACATTAAAGAATACATTATTACTAAAAATTGCTAAACATTATCTCAGCCTTCAGCGAATCAGAATCTTCTTGCTGGTGGAGGGTCTTGCCTCGATATTATTAATGGCTGCTGACTGATCAGGTGGTGGTTGCTGAAGGTTGGAGTAGCTGTGGCAATTTTTTAAAAATAAGACAACAATAAAGTTTGCTGCATCAGTTAACTCTTCCTTTCAGAAAAGATTTCTCAGTAGCATGTGATGCTGTTTGATAGCGTTTTACTCACAGTAGTACTTTCAAAACTAGTCAGTCCTCTCAAACCCTGCCTCTGCTAAACAGAAACTAAGTTTATGTAATATTCTAAATCCTTTGTTGTTATTTCAACAGTGTTCATAGCATCTTCACCAGGAGTAGATTTCATCTCAAGAAACCACTTTCTTTGCTCATACATAAGAAGCAACTCTTTATCTATTAAAAGTTTGATCATGAGATTGCAGCAATTCAGTCACATCCTCAGGCTTCATGACTAATTCTAGTTCTCTTGCTGTTTCCACCACAACTGCAGTTACTTCCTCCACTGAAGTCTTGAACCCTTCAAAATCATCCAAGAGGGATGGAATCAACTTCTTCCAAGCTCCTGTTAATGTTATTTTGACCTTCTTCCATGAAGCATGAATGTTCTTAATGGCATCTAGAATAGTGAATCCTTTCCAGAAGGTTTTCAGTTTGCTTTGCCCAGATCCATCAGAGGAATCACTATGGCAGCTGTAGCCTTAAAACAAAATGTATTTCTTAAATAATAAGACTTGAAAGTTGAAATTCCTCCTTGATCCATGGGCTGCAGAATGGATGTTGTGTTAGCAGGCAAGAAAACAACATTAATTTCCTTGTATATGTCTTTCCGAGCTCTTGGGTGACCAGATGCATTGTCAGTGAGCAGCAATATTTTGAAAGGAATCTTTTTTTCTGAGCAGTAGGTCTCAACAGTGGGCTTAAAATATTCAGAAAACCATGTTGTAAACAGATGTGCTGTCATTCAGGCTTCGTTGTTCCATTTATAGAGCACAGGCAGAGTAAATTTAACATAATTTTTAAGAGCCCAGTGATTTTCTGTTGGTAAATGAGCATTGGCTTCAACTTAGTCACCAGCTGCAGTAGCCCCTAACAAGACAGTCAGCCTGCCCTTTGAAGCTTTGAGGCTAGGCATTGACTTCTCTATAGTTATGAAAGTCCTAGATAGCGTCTTCTTCCAGTCTAAGGCTGTTTCCTCTACATCGAAAATCTGTTGTTTAGTGTAGCCACCTTCATCAGTTACCTTAGTTAGATTACTTGCTGCTTTACCTTGCACTTTTGTATTATGGAGACGGCTTCTTTTCTTAAACCGCATGAACCAGCCTCTGCTATCTGCAGACTTTTCTTCTGCAGTTTCCTCACCTCTCAGCCTTCATAGAATTGAAGAGAGTCAGGGCCTTGCTCTGGATTAGGTTTTGGTCTAAGGGAATGTTGTGGCTGGTTTGATCTTCTATCCAGACCACTAAAACTTTCTCTGTATTGGCAATAAGGCTGTTTCGCTTACTCATCATTCATGTGTTCACTGGAGTAGCACCGTTAATTTCCTTCAAGAATTTTTCTTTTGCATTCACAACTTGGTTAACTGTTTAGCGCAAGAGGCCTGGCTTTCGGCCTGTCTTGTCTTTCACCATGCTTTCCTCACTAAGTTTAACCATTTCCAGCTTTTGATTTAAAATGAGAGACGTGCGACTCTTCCTTTCACTTGAAGACTTAGAAGCCATTGTAGGGTTATTAATTGGCCTAGTTTCAATATTGTTGTGTCTCAGGGAATGATGAAGCCTTAGGAGAGGGGATAGAGGAGGGAACGGCCAGTCCATGGAGTAGTCAGAACGCACACAACATTTATCGGTTCGCCATCTTACATGAACATGTTTCCTGACACCACAAAACAAATTACTGTAGTAACATCAAAATCACAGGTCACCATAACAGATACAATAATAATGAAAAAGTTTGAAATATTCCGAGAATTACCAAAATGTGACAGGGAGACACAAAGTAAGCACATGCTGTTGGAACAAATGGCGCCAATAGGTTTCCTCAATGCATGGTTGCCAAAAACCTTCAATTTTTAAAAAAACGCATATCTGCAAAGTACAGTTAAGCAAAGCACAACAAAATGAGGTATGCCTGTATAGGTCTTCTACGTCCTGGTTAGATTTATTCCTAAGTGTTTTACTTTTTGGGGGGCTATAGTAAATGATATTGTTTTCCTGATTTTCATTTCAAAGTTCTCCTGTTGGTGTAGAAGAATCCAGCTGATTGTTGTATGTTGTGTTTTTATCCTGCTACTTTACTGAATCCTTCTATTAGTTCCAGTAGCTTTCTTGTGTAATCTTTAGTGTTTTCTGTGTATAGGATCATACTATCTGCAAATAGGGATATATATACTTCTTCCCTATCAATTTGGATGTTCTTTATTTATTTTTCTTGCCTTAATGCTCTAGTGAGGATTTCTAGCACCATGTTGCGGAAGAGTGGTGATAAAGGGCATCCTTGTCTCATTCCCGTTATCAAGGGGAATGCTTTCAGTCACTTAAAGTCTATTTTAAGGTATTGGAGATAGATGAAGTATTGCCAAGTAATAAAACTCAGAAGTTTAAGTAGCTTTTATTATTTTTTAACTTAAAAAAAAAATGCTACCTTTATGTGGCCTCTTTATCTGACTCTTACTTCACTTAGTATATAGTTTCATGCTGTTGTATACAGTTTAAAGATTTTTTTCCTTTACATTCTCTGAAATTTAAAAAATGAAAATATTTAATATCTTGCATTATCTTGACACTAAGAAGTTAACCTTTGATTTCCGTTCATTTTATAATGACATTTAAAAGTTTATTAGACTCTGGGGTTTTTTTTTTTGTTGTTGTTTTTTGTTTTTAAAGGTATAGGTTAGTGCATAGTGGTGGAGATCATGGAGTCTAGAACCAGGATGTCTGCTGTTGTATCCTAGGTCCACCTGTTCACTACAACATGATGTTTAAGGAAGTTACTAACCATTTGGTGCCTCAGTTTTCACTATTTCATAGGCTTGCTGTCAGAATTAAATGAGACAAAGTGTTTAGGTCAGTGCCTAGCTCATGGTAAGCACTATGTGTTTGCTATTTCTATTAGTATTTAAGTAATATGGATAGAAAAGTGTAAACATGTTAAATCTTAAAAATGTGAAATTGAGAGAGTTTATTACACACGTATTTTCAGCAATCAAAGGGTATTTGAAGAAGCTTAATGTCATCAAAGTGAATGGCTAGTCAGATTAGATTATTTGTTTAGGGGGTGTTTTGAGTGGAGAGATCCTAAGAACGGTTGCTTTATAAGACTATTTGGTAGATTCTTATGGAAGTCGTTCTCTTTTTTTTAAGCCCCCTTATCCAGGAATGGAACAACCTCCACATCATCCGTACTATCAGCATCATGCTCCACCTCCTCAAGCCCATCCCCCTTACTCAGGACATCATCCAGTACCACATGAAGCAAGATACAGAGATAAACGAGTAGTAAGTGCATGAGAAGGAAAAGGTGTGAGGGAACTACTTAGAATACTGTAGGTAATGTAAATGTGGGAAATACCGGATTGTGTTGAATGGTGGACCATTTCATATTCTTACTGCAGACTGTTTTGAGGTAATCTACAACTTGTTTATATTTAAAATTGCTGATCATGCCCCTTTAGATTGTTTATATAGATCATATTCCTTTTGCTTATCAAATCACACATTTACAGCTTAACTTTAGGTAATCCCTATATATAACTCTTAGGTAATGCTAGGTATATATTACGTAGTGTATTTTCTTTCTGCACTTGCATCTTAATTACACCTTCTTACTTATCGACTGTCTCATTAGGACATTTCTCATTTATGACACTAGTAAAAAATCTATCTGATTGCTTTGCCCATTAATGACATACGTGTGGCTGACAGTAATGAATGCGAGGTGTGAGACGGGAGTAATGCTGGCTTTGATGGTTAAGGTTATGTGTCAACTTGGCTGGGTCCTGATTCTCAGTGGTTTGGCAGTTATGTAATGATGTCATTTGAAAGTTATATATAATTTGGTATATGTAATGGTGTAGTAATCCTCCATTTTGTGATCTAATGTCATCCTCCATTTTCACATAACACCGATGTCTCTTAACGACCTGGTCTTTGGAACCTAACCATGTTGATAAGTGAGGAGAGGGTGTATGACTATGTAATTAATATTGCTAATGGGTATTTCTAAGCTTTTCATATATTCTGACCCAGTTAACTGTCATAGGGTAGATGGTTCATGTTAAGTTAGTTAACAAATATGCACTCAATCTTGTTTATTTATATTTTTACCAATTTTCGTTGAAACGAATATCCAAGTGAATTGTTTCACCTCTCCTCTGTCTCTGGTTCTTAAAATGATGCTTGCAAATGACAAACTGATGCTAAGACATGCAACCATCTCTAGTTAGTGGTTTCTTGTTCATTATACTAATGGGACGGAGTTTATTTATTAAACAGCTTTTTTTTTTTAAATAGTACTTTTGTTTGAAATTGTAGAAATTGAATAGTAGAAATTGTCTCCTGCCACTTGTTGGAAGTCTAAGCCATGTGCATATAAGTTTAATAGCCTGAGAAAGGTAGTTTGTTGTTAAAGTAGCATATAAAAGTTGGAAGTTATTTTTGCTCTCTTGAGTGTATGCTGAGCCAAGTAAACATCCTTCTGTGTTCCTGCTAAATGAAGAGCATACATATTTGAGAGAGTAATAGTTTCCTAGGTTATCTTTGAAATACTTTTATGCATTTTCATTTATTTCCTTATCCTCAAAAAAAAGAATTGATGCTTCAAAATTAAATTAAGACATTTAACATTCAGTGAAACAAGTTGAGGATCCTAACTGACTAATAGCGGCCCTGGTGGTGCAGTGGTTAAGAGCTCATGCTTGCTATCCAAAAGGTCGGCAGTTTGAATCTACCAGCCGCTCCTTGGAAATCCTGTGGGGCATTTCTTCTCTGTCCTACAGGGTCGCTGTGAGTTGGAGTCGACCCAGTGGCAGTGGGTTTTTGGTTTTAACTGTTTAATCAGGAGCCCCGGTGGTACAGTGGTTAACCGCTCAGCTGCTAACTGAAAGGTCGTCAGCTTGACCCACCAGCTGCTCTGCGGGAGGAAGAGGTGGCCGTCTGCTTCTGTAAAGATGACAGCCTTGGAAGCCTGTGGGACAGTTCTCCTCTGTCTTGTTAGGGTCTCTGTGAGTCGGAATTGACTTGGTAGCAGTGGCTTGTTTTTGGTTTTTTTTTTTTAACTGACTAATGGAGTCCCTGGATGGTGTAGATGGTTAACCTGTTCAAATGCTAATGCCTTGAGTCCAGCCAGAGGTGCCTGGTAAGAAAGGCCCTCCATTGGAAACCCTGTGGAGCACAGTTTTACTCTGACACATAGGGTCTCAATGAACCAGAGTCGACTCAACTGATGGCGACCCGTGTGTGTGAGTAGAACAGTGCTCCATAGCATTTTCAGTGGCTGATTTTTTGGGAGTAAATCACCAGGCCTTTCTTCTGAACTAATTGCAGATTAGTTTTTCTCAGTCACAGAAGAAGGAAGTACAAAGTTTATATATGATAAAGTCTATTGACTAGGTAGTTGCCATGCTTTTTAAAAATGCCTTTTTGAATGATAATATGATTTTCAAAATAGGAATTCATTCCAGCATTCTTTTACTAAGGATGCTTGTCCTTTTTAACAAGCTCTACTATGTCTTGGACCTTTGTAATTTTTTTGGTTAGTATATATATTTCATGCTTATGTAAAATTCGTAGATTCATTATACATAATAGTGATATATAATCGTATATGATTGTGTTTGTGAGCCTTATGTCTGTGTATTTGTTTAAGTTGACTTGAAAAGGGAGTAAGTTCACTTAAGTTAAGCTGTGAACTGAGGATAGAAAGCTTAAACTAAAGCAAGGGTCAAGTTTAGAAGTAGCCACAGTTACAGCTTTCCATTGCACCCATGTACGTAGTTGCTCACCTTTCCCTTCTTTGTCTTCCTTAGTCTTTTGTGCATTGTTGGCTCTCTGTGGAACAGACTTGGCATTTTTACTGAAGTACATATTTTCTTAATTTCCATCAAATTCAATAATTAATTAATGAACAACAGTTTAGTTTAAAAGAAAATTTTGAACATAAAAATTTGTAATTCCGCATTAAGAGGGCAGAGTTGGTTCAGATTAGTTTGTGGAATTACAGGACAGAAAAAGGTTGGATTAGCCTGTTGCAGAAAAGCATTAATATGGTAATCTTGTTAAAGGGACTGAATGGAAAAGTTAAATAGGAAACCTCATGACTGAAGTGAGTTTTAATGAGATTTGGAAATAGGAAACCTCATGATTGAAGTGATTTTTAAATAGGAAACCTCATGATTGAAATGACTTTTAATGAGATTTGAGTAACCCTCTTGTTATAGGTGTTTGATTACTGAGACATCAAAATCCTTTTTCTAAGCAATGCCAGAATTACATTCTATGAGTTTATAACTGCATTTCTTCAGATTTTCTTTCTGTCAGATAATAACTACAATATAGGGACTCAAATTCCAGTGGAAATTTTTGACATGCCTGACCTGTTTCTTCCCTTTTCTAGCATGATTATGACATGAGGGTGGATGATTTTCTTCGTCGCACCCAAGCGGTTGTCAGTGGCCGGAGAAGTAGACCCCGTGAAAGAGATCGGGAACGAGAGCGAGACCGCCCCAGAGATAACAGAAGAGACAGAGAGCGAGATAGAGGCCGAGACAGAGAGAGAGAAAGAGAGCGATTATGTGATCGGGACAGAGACCGAGGGGAGAGAGGTCGATATCGAAGATAATGCGCTTTTGAAAGCACTGATTGTTTAAAGATAAAAAAAAAAAATCTTTTTTTTTTCCCTTGGTGTGTGTTTACAAGTAGTAAATTTATTTTCAGCTATCTACTTAAAGTTCATTGTGTAGAAGGATTTATTATGACCCTCTTTGTTCCAAGCATGCGGTATACTAAGAACTGGAAAAACTCAAATCCGCCAAAAATGCGCAGTTGACAATTGAGTTGACACTTACTGGGGCAGAATGGAACAGTCCAAGAATGTAGATATTGATTCATTCTTCCTATGTTCATCTACTTACAGTGTGTTCATCCTAGGGTTATTCTTTGTTTTCTTTCTTTTGGATCTTGATTGATAACTGCCATGACATTTTGCTTTGATGTGTTTCTACATGTAGTTGCACACGGTTCAGTAAAATAATGCTGCTATCAAGTATGCAAATATTGAAGTATGATGGTTCGACTGGCAGTGTTGTAGCAGCCTCTTGGTTTCTCCCTTCCTTCTCCCTTTTTTTAAACTTAACAACATCACTTTTTATTTTTCTTCAGTCTTCAATGATGAGAGCAATATGAAGAAGACATTGCTATCTAATTTTAAACCTTTTTGAAAAATAAACAATTCTTATGTTCAGTAGCATGGTTGATGCTTTTGTTTAGCCTTCCCCTCCAAACTGTATACATTGGCTTGGAATGTTCACAACTTGAGTGTGTGGCAGCGGAAGATTCCCATATTCTACATTGCTACTGTTTTGTATAAAATAAATTGGTAAAGATAGATACTTTTTTGTTGTATTTTTTTTTTTTGGTCTGGTTGCAGATTTGTTTATTAGGTGTTAGTAGGCATAAATGAATGTTAATCATTTTAAGAATCCCATTTGCCTTTTTTCCTAAAGCAACCTAAGCCAATGATATTAAAAGCTTATTGCTATTTTTATTATAAGAACTGATGATATACAATTGAATTACTGTATTTTTACGCAAATAACGTACATCTTCTACATTTATTTTCCAAACGCTCCTTCCCCCAGCAAGATATTTTTGTAAGTGTGCTATGCTAATTTTTTTACAGCAACATACTAAAAAAAAAATTGGCATAGTGGCGCTAATGAAAATACCTAGCAGGGGGAGGGAGCAGTAATAGACTTAAAAAACCAACCCTTTTGTAGTCAGTTTTCTATTTTAAAGTTAACTGTCAGTTCCTCCCAATAATAACAAACTGCAACATAGAAGTAGAGTCACCCAGGAAAACAGAGTTCATGAAAGAGCTTTTTATTTTTCATTTTCTTGAGTTGTATCTGAAATATTGGCCTTTATAAAGTTGAATATGTAAACATTTGGGAGAATCTGAATGACCACCTGTTCTTACAATGTATGTTTTTATACGGTGTCATATTTACAGTTTTACTGAGCACCAAATCTTGAGTCATAGTTTTACATTTAATCTGTATTTATAGGACTGGATGAGAAACACAGGAACATCACTCTTGAAAGATATTTAAACTGTAATTTGACTGGCTTCATACTTTTACCAGTTTTTAGAAAAGTTTTTCCATGTATTCCCAATGAATAGTTTTATTTTACTTATTTTAGAAAAAAGTCCTAAGGATCTATGCAGTCTGGTATAGAGGAGAGAACATTAAACAGAATGTTAAAAAACCTGGATTCTAGTTTCAGTATTGCCTTTAATCAAACTAAAAACAGTTGATGATACAAGTAAGTCTCTTCACGGGCATTTTGTTTGTGTATATGAGTAAGTTAGCCAAGTTAATATCTAAGGTTCTTTTCAAGTTCTTAAACTGAAGTATATCTAAGATTTACAGAGAATCACTAAAAATGTTATTTTTAAGAAATGACCAGTTACATAAAACTTAGTAGGTAATACTAAAGTTGTTTTCCTGAAATAATAGTAAAGTTATAAATTACATTGTGCACTTGGTACATAACAAAGACTTTTGCACTTCCATGTATTAACCTCTTTCATCCTCACATAACATCCTAATTATCCCTGTTTTTTATAGATGGGGAATGAGGTCCATAAAGGCTAGAAACTTGCCCAAGATTGCAAAGGTTGAAATTGGTAACAGCCAAGATTCGAGCCAGGATGTCTTAACAGCTCCACTTAACCCACTGTACTATACACAGCATCTTGTTCATTGAGTTCAGTTGTCCCTCATCCTCAAGGATTGGTTCTGGGAGCCCTGGGGAGACCAAAATCCATGAATGTTCAAGTTGCTTATATAAAATTGAATAGTATTTGCGTATAACTGACACACATCCTCTGGTATACTTTAAATCATCTGTAGATTATTTATACCTAATACAGTGTAAATGCTATGTGAAGTGGAAGACTTGATCTGGAAGGTAGCCTTTCTCTTCTCTGAGTTTCTTGAGCTCTTCTGGGAGCGCTGATGCTGCCTGCGCATCAGTCAATGCCGATTCTCCCGTGATCTTGGAAGTTCTTCAGGCTGTAGAGCTTTAGGTAGCTAGCCAGCCATCCCTTACAAGCTTTCAACTCCTTCCTCTCACTGTCCTCTACCCTTTCACACTTAGCCTTTGAGAGATTGATTTGACTGCTTAATTGTTTTTTAGGAGCCACTTCTTCACAGAAACAAAGGGTGTATGCAACACAAATAGTGAATGAACAATGGTGCACACAACACAAATAGCAAACGAACAAGACACAAGGCAAACAGTGTTCAGTGAGTGCTGGAGAGAGAATGAGGATCTGTGAAATGGCGGGAGGCTATAGCAGGGAATGTCTACACATCACTACATTCACCTAGTGCTTGATGTGCAGTGTATTTTTTTGCTTTTTGCAAGCTTCTTCCTGAATATGATCCAGGTTTGGTTCAATCTGTGGATGTGGAACCCACTGATACGGAGGGCTGTAGAATTAATAAGGTGTCTCAAGACTAATCAGGAAGCATTTGAGAGAACTGAGATACAATCATCGTTTTCCATAATTGTGAAAGTACCATGTTGTGAGCTTTAGTGTCTATCCTAGAATTGCAAATGAAAATACCAATTTCATTTAATAACATGTTTTTATTCAATTTATTTTTTCCTAAGGAGCCACTTTATCTTTTTTTGGGAAGAAAAAATATAGATCAGTGTTTAAAATGGTGCTGAATTTTACTGGGAGTTTTAAACATTCACATATCCTTCAAGATATCCTCATTAAGCAGAGGGTTTTCCTAAGGTGTCCAATTACTTAAATGTCACTTACGCTTTGTATTCTGTGTATTAAGGCATGTCACTTAAGCTTTGTATTCTGTGTATTAAGGAGCTAAGTATGCAGTTAATCTTAAAAAAAACTTAGCCTTTATTGAGTCTTTACAAAGTGTCAGGCCTTATTCTAAGTACTGGTGGTGGTCATTTAATCCTCACTTTAACTTGTTTCCCTGCTTCCATTTTTTTAAATGAAAAAACTGACAGGAAGATGATGTATAAGATTGAAAGTTTTTTTTTTTTCTGCACACCAGAGTCAAAATAATATTGATACATACATATGATGTGGATTTTTGATTAGACATTTGAAGACATTTATGACAGCCTTTCTCACTGTGAAAGGCATGGTTTCTTGTATGTACTCTAAAATTTTGTGGTTCTAGTAGTATATCACCAACATAGTGCAGGTGAACAAGAAAATTTAGTCATTGGGAGTTTAGAAAAATGGATTTTATTGGCTAGAGTAAAAGTTCAAGGGGGTGAAATTGAACTCGGGTTTATAGTCTCTTGACTTTGCTGGCATTCTCAGACATACTGTAAATTTTCTAAAAATGGCCACCACCATCTCCAGGCTTTCATTATCCATATAGCTCTCAGTATCAGGAGGGATACCATTTCTCGACCCAGTTTCCTTACCAATCTCTCAAAAGGACTGAATAGCCATAGCAGTTTTATGGTGCCAGCCCTGGTCTGATCTGTGTGTCCAGGGAAATGGGGTTGTCTGACTAGCCACCTTGGGAGGCAAGAGATACAGGGGCTCTTATGGTCAACTGCACTGGAATTACATTGGTAGGGACAATACCCAAATGACAGGGACAGACAGTACATGTCTCTCACATGCGTAAACATATAAAACTAACACCTGAATGTCTCTTAATATGTTGTCATAGGTTTAGCTTCCTTCCTGAAGTAAGTTTTGATTCTGGCTATCCTTTTTCATCCTGCCATAGAATGTCTTGGTCACTTATCTGAAGTGCCTATACATCTTACCTTGTCATACCATTAAAAATGATGAGTCTTCGAGCACATCAGTTGTATGAAATAGGAAGTTGGGTGCCATCCAGTCACTTCCAACTCAGAGCAACCTTATGTGCAACAGAATGAAACACTGCACAGTCCTGCACCGTCTTCAACCGTCATTGCTATGTTTGAGCCCATACTTGTAGCCACTGTGCCGATCTAACTTACTGAGGGTCTTCCTCTTTTTGCTGACTGTTAAGGGTGATGTCCTCCAAGGACTGGCCCCTCCTAATAACGTATCCAAAATACGTGATGAAGTTTCACCATTCTCGTTCCTAAGGAATGTTCTTGCTGTACTTCTTCCAAGACAGATTTATTCATTCTCTAGCAGTCCATAGCATACTCAATATTCTTGTCAGACACTATAATTGAAAGGCATCGATTTTTATTCAGTCTTCCTTAGTCATTCTCCAGCTTTTGCACACACATGGGAATGAAAATATCATGGCTTGGGTCAGGTGCGCCTTAGTTTTCAAGGTGAAATTTTTGTTTTTTAACACTTTAAAGAGGTCTTTTGCAGCAGATTTGCCCAATGTAATAATGTCTTTTGATTTCTTGACTGCTACTTCCATGGGTGTAGATTGCAGATCCAGATGAAATGAAATCCTTGACAACTTCAATATTTTCCCTGTTTATTATTGGTCTAGTTGTGAGGATTTTTGTTTTGTTTACGTTGAGGTGTAATCCTTATTGAAGTCTGTAGCTTTTGATTTTCATCCGTAAGTGCTTCAAGTCCTCTTCACTTTGAGCAGGCAAGGTTATGTCATCTGCATATCCGAGGTTGTTAATGAGTCTTCCTCCAATCCTGATGCCCCGTCATTCCTTCATATAGCAGCTTCTCAGATTATTTCCTCGGCATACAGTATGGTGAGAGATACACCCCTGATGCACACCTTTCCTGATTTTAAACCATGCAGTATCTCCTCGTTCTGTTTGAACGACTGCCTTTTGATCTATGTACAGATTCCTCATGAGCACAATTAAGTGTTCTGGAATTCCCATTCTTTGCAATGTTATCCATAATTTGTTGTGATCCACACAGTTGAAAGCCTTTGCACAGTGACTGAAACAGTCAATATAAACGAAATAGGAAGATGAAGAAGGAAATGTGAATTATCACCAGTATTTTACTGACCATGCTCAGTTCCCTGACCCAAGGTGAAGGTGGCTGACACACAATCATCTTACCCAGATTTTTTTTAAATGGGTGGAAACATTCATAATGCATTTTGATCCACATATTAAAAATTTAGGTACATGGAATACTTGGCAAAACTTTAGACTCAAAGTATTTTAGGGTAGGAATAGGGATCTTAAGTTGCTTAAACAATTCATTGCTTTCTACTTGTCACATCAGCCATTTTCATCTCTTAATTTTTTGTCTCTGCTACTTTTTTTCCCCGAAATCTTCCTCTTCATGTTTCTGTTTTAATTTCTTTCCCTTGTGTCCTAAACTCGTTTACGGCATCTAAAAGACCTGTTCAATCCTACTAATGATATTCAAGGTATAATAAATAGGCTAGTAAACTCCTTTTCCAGGTATTAGCTTCCAGTGAAGTCACTAAGAGTTTGTCATTAAATTTTGTGGCTAGGGTATAGGAGGCTACAGTTAGCCTTTTAGTTTTCAACATGCTCTTAGTGATCCCAGGATATAAGCTCAGTTTAATCAAGCGTACCTTGGATTTGGCTGAAAATATTAAATAAATTGACTAACAGCTGGTTTAGTGGATGCAGAATGCCTCCTTCTCACTTACAGAGGTTTTCAGAAGTGGATGAGAATTTTGGTACAAAATAAGTGATTTTTATGAGAATATCTTATTCAGATTAAAAAGATTTCTTTTACTACGGAAGTAATTTGTTTTTCCTCTGTGTAGCTTGTGAGTTTCTAACTGAAATCTGTGGAGATAGAATATTATTGGAATTAATTTTAAGCTCGAAACACCTGTCTTAGGCTAGGTTCTCTAGCAACGCAAAACCAGTAAAGTATATAAATATTTATATAGAGAGATTTATATTAAGGGAATGACTCACGCCAGTGTAGAGGCTGGAATGTCCCAAGAGCATGGGTCAGGCTGGAGGCCTCTCCTGATTCATGCAGCCACGGGCTGTCAAACCCAAGTTCAGCAAGTCAGCAGGGTTCTGGCTCACAGGCTGTGAAGACCGAGGCATCTCAAGATGGGCATGCAAAAGGGCAGGTAAGCTGCTAGCTGAAGTCCCTGCAAGAGAGCAGGTAAGCTGCTAGCTCAAGTCCCAAGAACTGTAGGTCAGATGAACAGGAGCCACCTGCTGGATCTAGAGGGAGCAAAAGCCCATGAGCCTTGCCAGAAAGTCTGTCTATGTTGGATGTAGGCCACACCCCCGAAGAAACTCCCTTTCAACTAATATGCTACTCGCAGCAGATCCCATCATGGAGGTGATCACATCAGATTTCATCGTGGAAGTGATCACATTATACAACTGCCAAACTACATCATAATTGTCAAACCACTGAGAATTATGGCCCAGCCAATTTGACAGAACGGTCACAGGCCACCCTTGTCAACTTGGCACCTGTACACGTCCTTAAGCCATCCATAATCTCTGGATAGAGACAATTACAAAGTCATACTTGCGCCTAACATATAACACACATACAACTGAAAACGCACTAGCCCTGTTTACATCTTATATTTTGTAAGTGTAGAAAACAAAAATATTCAATGCACACATACAAGGCAGAAATAATAGTCCTTGTTTCTGCAACTGGTCATGTGGTCGTAACGTGTTTAGAACTACCTTCTTCCACCACCCATTCTGTACTCCCTTTTCCCTCAGCAAGCACATCAGCTGGTCATGATTCTTTGCCTGGTGGAGTGACCCAAAACTTCATTCTTGAAATGTCTGGGCCGCTAGTAGTCATATCGGAATTGGATTGCTGTAGTTTTTCATTGACTTTAGTAACGAGGCATGGTAGTACTAAGAGACACCCTAAGGGAGCTCCTGCATTCCAAACATACCCTTCTTTACCTCCATTATGTAATATCAATCCGATTTCCTCTTGGTAATCAGAATCAATCACACCAGCCAATATGGTAACTCCCTTCTTTGCCTGTTGATCCAGAGGCATAAGGAGCCCAAACTGGCCGGGTGACATTCTTAGCTTCCAGTTCAATGGAATCAGTGATGTTTCTCCAGGTGGGAGCATTCCTCCCTTTGTAACTAAGACACAGAGCATAGGGTTGCAGGGAGAGGAAGCAAAAATCTTTTGAGTAGGTCACTAGGTGTAATAGTGAGTGGTGCCTCTTCCATTTCCACCCCTTGACTCCTGGACCCATGAATCCTGGCTATAGGAGAAACAACACCATATATTGGGTGCTGGTTTAGAGCATATGCAGCCTCCTGGAGAACATTGCCCCAGCCGTGCAAGGTATTGCCACCTAGCTGGCGCCATAATTGTGTCTTTAGAAGGCCGTTCCATTGTTCTATCAAGCCAGCTGCTTCAGGATGATGGGGAATATGGTAAGACCAGTGAATTCCATGAGCATGTTCCCATTGCCACACTTCATCTGCTGTGAAGTGAGTCCCTTGATCTGAGATGATGATGTGTGGAATACCATAATGTTGGATAAGGCATTCTGTAAGTCCATGATCGTCATTTTGGCAGAAGCATTGTGTGCAGGGGAGGCACATCTGTATCCAGAGTGTCTATTCCAGTAAGAACAAAACGCTGCCCTTTCCATGATTGAAGCTGTCCAAGTGTAATCAACCTGCAACCAGGTTGCTGGCTGATCACCTCGAGGGATGGTGCCATATTGGGAACTCAGTGTTGGTCTCTGCTGCTGGCAGATTGGGCACTCAGCAGTGGCTGTAGCCAAGTCAGCCTTGGTGAATAGAAGTCCATGTTGCTGAGCCCATGCATGATTTCCATCCCTGCCACCATGGCCACTTTGTTCATGAGCCCATTGGCAATGATGAAAGTGGCTGGGGGAAGAGGATGACTGGTTTCCACAGAACATGTCATCCTATCCACTTGATTGTTAAAATCCTCCTCTGCCAAGGTCACCCTTTGGTGAGCATTCACATGAGACACAAATATCTTCACTTCTCCGGCCCATGCAGGGAGATCTATCCACATACCCTTTCCCCATAAATCCTTGTCTCCAATTTTCCAGTCATGTTCTTTCCAAGTCCCTGACCATCCAGTCAAACCATTGGCCACAGCCCATGAATAAGTATATAATCACACATCTCACCATTTCTCCTTCTAAGCAAAGTGAA